TTTGAGATGGAAGGATGATTTTCCCGTATTTGTTAGATGTTGATGCATTTAAATTATTTAAAATCTTTGGATATTTGGTTTGATTTGGCATCTTCTTGTCAACTAAATTCGTCAAAAATTCAAAATTAACATTAATTAAATGTTTTTTATGACGTTGTGCATTTTTGAAGCTTTGTGTTCTAAAGGGAAGACGTGGCTCATAATTAAGTGTTTTGAGTGGCTCAGTTCACAATAAACACTTTGCAGGTTCTTTAAAAATGCACCAAATTTAATTTTAAAATGAATCAATTCGCTGACCTACTGCAATAGCCAGGATTTCCACTGTCTTGAAAAAACTGCATATATGACGAAGTCTAATTTTTAAAATCTGATTTGTAGAACTGGAAAAGTCATGTAAATTAATCAAATCGTATAATTATTTGGCCATTTTTTATAATGAATACATTTGTCTAGTTTAGCCAAGGTCTGAAATATTTTATCAGGAAAAATACTTAATGCTGGGCAAACTGCAGTATACTAGGGCTGGGGTAAACGATTATTAACTAAACGATTAGTTGGGCGATTATTTTATCGATTAGTCGACTAATCTAATGACTAATTGGACGACTAATATAAAGAATTTTTTTTTCTGCTGCTCAATTAATAAAAAAAAAAACAATATCGCAAATAAATACTAGCATACTGAATCAAGATACTATAAACTGGCTAACGTTAGTCTAATGTTATGTATTTTAACACCATTATTATAACTCTACAACCGCCAAAACCGTGTTATTAAAATATTTTTTACAAACATTTTTTATCATAGAGAATGTTTAAATATTAGTATCAGCTGAGGAGGGAAACGGAGGTGGAGTTAGTGGTGCGATCGGAGGCTGCTACTGCTGGAGATGAATCGGGAGAGGTTTGTGCACCTACTGATCAGAGCGCGTGCTGACACGGAGTAAAGCCTTGTTTATACTCGACACGTCCGCACGAGCGCGAATGTGCGCACGGCAAAAATGACGCGTTGGGAGCGCAAGACCAGGAAGACTGTGGCTGGCTGTGTGTACGCCTTTTTTTGTAACAGCGCGCGCGGCGCCGCGTCCGGAAGCGACTTCAAGCCGAATCTGCCCGAGCTTGTACGTCTCACCACACCGGCACCCAGTTTGCGCATCTAAATTGCAATTTTCTTTTCTTAAGGGTTTGTTTACTGTGTGTGATTCATTTAATGGATAGCACATTCACTTCTAGTTGTCTTCGTCCTCTATTCTGAAATGTTTCGGTCTCCTACGTGTGTGTGGCAAGCTCTGTACCGCCAGGAACATGCAAAAAATAAATTAATAAAGAAGCGTCGACGCAAAAATATGACGTCGACGCAATGATTCGACGCCATCGACGCGCCGCTACAGCACTACAGTATACACCATTTAGTCAAAAGTTCTTTTGGCTTTTAGTATGAATATGTTAGTCTTAACCCCCTGGGGTCGGAGGTCACGCTAGCGAGACCAGGGGCCTCATTTATAAACGTTGCGTACACACAAAAGAAGGCGTATGCCGCTCTCTACGCAATAGTTGATATTTATAAAAAGCAAACTTGACGGTAAAATGTGCGGTCCTTCACGCAAGCTCTGACCCAGGCGTACGCACAAAAACGGGTGAAATGAGAAATTGCGACACTGTCGGAAGTTGGAAAAAACACGTTGAAGTGTGTAAAACTGTAGGTTGTGTAAAATAAATGGCAATACTGCCTCTCATAAATAAAACAAAGACTTCACAAAGCAAGTCTTAACAGCTTACAATTAACAGTCTACACGAACACCGTTTGATCGATCTGTAACAGAAATGCAAATTAACACATATTTCCAAAAAGAAAGTGAAATATTTTCTTCTATAATATTGGTATGCAATTCATCCTCATAAATAAGATGGTAAACAGAACGAAATAATGTACAAAACTGATATTCTCGCCAATATGTTTGTCTAACGGAGCAGATATAGCAATTAGATAGTCAGTCAGATAGATAATTAGGGAGATATAGGCCTATAGATAGATCGATAAATATTATTTGTCCACTGGGGAAAGTTGTTTTCATAGTAAAAATGTCTTCATAATCTACGGAATCCTGGTATTCCTTTAGTTTGTTTTATTTTTGATAAAATAACGTATGACGTATGTCTCAACCATTCAGAAAGCTGCAAGAAATTACATTTGCGCTGAACTATTTCCCATTTCCAAGTAGATTATAACCGACATCCGTAGCTTGTCAGATGCAGAATTAAATGGATGTAAATAAAATGCCCCATCACAATGCGTATAATGACCCACAGTGGCTGATCTTGAGCTCTTAGAAGATGTGGCGATTAAATGGAAGGATTCGGAGTGAACGCATCATCTTCACAACAAAAGGTGTGGAAAAATATATTATTTATTCAAGAATTTCCTCTGTGCAGTTGTGCAGTTTATTTCAGTTAGGACAGTCTTGATTTCGCCCAACTCCTTGGCCACCTCTCTATTTGAATTAATGACTAGACGTTTTTTTGCCTCGACATTGATGTCCGACCATTTCTTTTTTATTTCGGCCACAGTCCGAGGCTGTGAGGCTACAGCATTACGGCGTCTGCAACCTTTTGCCACTCAAGTGCCTTTTTGGCATTAGTAATGCTCACACTGTGCCCTCCAAACAACATTTTTCTCCTCTTTTCCACCTCGCCAATGATAACTTCTACTTCACATTGAGTGAAGTTACATTTTTTTTATTTCCTCTCTGTGTTTAACATGATTTCGCAATTCATGAATATTAACTTTTGGGCGTTTCACGGACTATTTATGGGCAACTATGGGCGTGACATGAAGACGCAAAAGCTGCGCTACATTTAGAATTGATTGTGATTTATGAAGGGAAAAATGCATAGGATGTGCGTGCGCATGGTTTTATAAATCTGAATATTTCTGTGCGTACGCACGTCCTATGTTTCATCCGTACGCCACTTCTGACGCAAATCCTACGCAAAGTTTTATAAATGAGGCCCCAGCTCTTTTTTTTCATATCAGTGCAAAAGAGACTCAAAATACTTCAGAATGTTGTGCTTTTCGCCAAATAAAGAAAAACAAACATGATGCTGCCTTCTCTCTGTCAGTGAAGTTCATTCTGAACCGCGTCCGAAAATGAACTGTAACTCAGCGAATACGCAGTCAAACAGGCGAGAGAGATGTCTTTATGAAGCTTGAATTCTCTTCTTTTAAGTGAAGTAATTTATATAAAAGACAAATATTCTCTGTTTATGTAATCTGTATAAAAATAGAGAGATGTTAGTCGTTCTCATTATCGTTTTCGCAGCTCATTTTCTGCTATGTGAACACGCCCATGGAGAGCGCGCGCTATTCCAACGCAAATGATCTGAGACAGTCCATGCAATCCTGTGAAGCCCACATCAGCTGGATAAAGCACATCAAGTTTAATCAGCTTAATGTACTCTACGCCGTCTTGCTACGCTGTGAGGAGTAATACTATCGTAGTAATAATCCTGGGAAATTTAGAAGTGCTGGTTTAGTTTCACTTCAAGGAGCAACGGATCCAGCTGAGGATTATGAATTGTAAGTTATTTATTCCTAAGTGCTTTGTTCTAATCGCGATATGCAATTGTGTCGGGAAACCGCAAAAAGACTGTTTAAATATGAATTGTGTGTTCGTGTGTGCATGAATGAATTATTATGGGTTTTTTTTTCAATAACCATGTATAAGCATTATTCTCTCAAAAATACAAATGTGTGTGTGTGCAAATCTGTGGTGAGCAGGATTTCAGCAAAAAATCTCCTACCAAAATCGAGTTTCCATTCAACTAGTGGGATGTTGCCTGCAATTAGCAAATGTGAAATACTCCTAAACTAGCTTTCTTGTAGCACAGTTACTCTCTAGCTTTACTGAAAACCAACGCCTAAATTAAAATACCGATAAAGAGATAACAAGCGATTGAGTGTCTTTTGGATCACACGTTTGATGATTAGATGTTTGAAGCTGCTGATAAACTCACAGCCGATTAGAAATGGCTTATTGAGAGTTGCTCGTTGAAAGCATTCTTCAGAGGAAAGTACTGTTGGACATATGATCACATAATGTGTGCTTTTGTTGTAATATTTGCTTATGTAATCTCCACCTCTTCTATCCTCAAGCTTCCAACTCTGTAAACATTTTTCCTGCTGCACGTAGATCCTTTCCTCACCTTTTATTTCAACTGGACTGTGACAGTTGTGTACATATTTAATATTTTTTTGGTCTGCAGACTTGGTCAAAATCATTATTTCCAGACTTGTAAATATGCAGTCATTCTTGACTAATGTTTCAGTGTTTTATTTATAGGATCAAATTTTTAGAGAATTATTTTTATCATTGATTTCAAACATTTGCATTTGCAATGGTGGAGGGATCAAGACATGGAGAGATCTTCTTGGGCGGTAGTGGCTCAGTGGTTTATGTAGGTTATCTACAAACCGGAAGGTTGGTGGCTCAATCCCTGGTTCCACCTGATCAAGTGTCGAGGTGTCCATGAGCAAGACACCTAACCCCAGCTTTGTGTGTGTGTGTGTGTGAGAGAGAGAGACATACCTAACCCCAACTGCTCCCGATGAGCTGGATGGCGCCTTGCATGGCTGACACCGCCATCGCCGTATGAATGGGTGAAAGGGCTTTGGTGGCCATTGGGTCTGTGAAAGCGCTATATAAATGCAGTCTATTTACTATTCAAACAAAGCTCCATTATGCTATGATTGTTCTCTTTTTCTTGTGTACCTCATAATTATGAATCTTTCATGACTTTGTTTTGCTTGCTCTGAGTAAAAAGCAAGACAAGGGTAGCATTTAAAAAACAATTGAAAAGATCCACAAAAGCCCCAACAGTGTTTAAACCAGCATTCAGCAAACAAATTCCCTAACAACACCTGGACAGATACCAAAGATAGTTTTCAATCAAGTGGGAAGCCTCCTTCTTATTTAAACAATTGTCTATTTCTGTATTTGCAGGCTTGCATTGTCACAGCAATGATTGCCACGGGTGGGGTGATCACGGGGCTCGCGGCATTGAAAAGACAAGACTCCACCCGCTCTCAGTGTCATCTACCAATCCAGAGCCCAGGCCATGCTCCTGAGAAGAAAAGCACCAAGCGTAAACCTAGAGCTGATGTGGTGGTAGTGAGAGGGAAGATCAGACTGTATTCGGCCTCAGGATTCTTCCTGGTTTTGGGAGTGCTGATCCTCATGGCAGGCATTGCAATGGCTGTTCTTGGATACTGGCCTCATAAGGACGCCCAGAAGGCACCGGAAGGTCAGTTGTCCAGGAACGATACTCAGGTCGGCCGAGAGCAGGTGGGCTCCATTGCGCAATTCTTGGAGAAGCACCTGCATTCCGAGAGGATGAAGATGTTGGGTCCTTTCACTATGGGAATTGGGATTTTTATCTTCATCTGTGCTAATGCCATCTTACATGAGAACAGGGATCGGGAGACAAAGATTATCCACATGAAGGACATGTACTCGACCGTCATAGACATTCACAGCCTGCGGATTAAGGAGCAGAAGTGTACCAATGGGGCCTACATGGGTCCCTACACGGACACGGAGATCCGTTCTTTCGGACTGGATGGCCAGTTTGCCTCAAGGCTCGCAGCAAACACTCTAATGTCCTTCTCCGGTCTGGATGGCGACGTCCGGTTCTCCCACAGGACCAGCTCGGCCGAGGATGACGAGGGTCTAATGAGTGAGGCCCGGGGTGGCTTTGGCCTGTTGTCGCCTACTTACAAGGACCGTTCTGAATGTGTCTTTGGGTTCCATGATGAGGGCGGTCGCCGGTGGGAGGACAAGCGTGGCGCGCTCAAGAAATGCCAAACGCACTCCATCGTTTCGTCTTCCATCAGCGCCTTCACACTGCCCGTCATCAAACTCAACAACTGCGTCATTGATGAGCCTGACATCGATAGCATCACGGAGGACTCGGAGCTGAACAGGGTTCACTCCAGACCTCCGTCATTGGAGTCGTTAACAGTACCTGTTCCCTATGTCGCCAAAGCTTTCAAGCCTTCGGGCGCCCTGCTGCTCCGCAGCAACTCCGCCACCGAATCCCCTACCTCCACATCTTCCCGTTCCTCACTGTCTCCTGGGTCCACCAGCGGTAGGTTCCTCTCACCTGGAGCTGCGCGTAAAGACTTCGGCTCCAATAGCTCCCTCCACGTCTTGTCAGCCCATTCCAAATCTCTGGATTTAGAGAGAGTGCCCACAACGCTCACTGTCCAGCCCGAACAGAGGAAACACCCTAGTTGGCCCAGATTGGACCGCAGTAATAGTAAAGGATACACTAAACTGGAGGACAAAGAGGACCCTATGGACAGGCTTTTAGTGCCCCCCGTGGCCGTGAAGAAGGACTACACTAAAAAGGAGAAACTTCTCATGATCTCCAGGTCTCACAATAACTTGAGCTTCGAGCATGATGAATTTATGAGCAACTGCCTGAAGAGAGGCACCTCCGAGACCAGATTTTAAAACTGAGCTAGCGTCAAATGTCAAACCATGACACAGTCCAGCTGCAATATAGAAAACAGGTCCATTTACAGATAAAAAAATCACAAGGCCCTTGAACAGATTGCTTAGGCAGTTGTGCTGCTTTTTTGTTTTGTTCTTTCACTGGATTTCAGAAGGATATTTCACCCAGAATTTGAAATACAAAAAGTGAGCCGCACTGCTAAATTAAAGTATGGGTAGAGCCGAGCGAATAATTCAGTTGCAAACAGGTTAGTGCAACTTGTTCAAATATGTTTGTATTGTTTTTGTTATCTTTCAGACAGGATCTATTGTCTGTTTGAGTACTACAGTATGTGTGTTGTACCAGCACTGCTAGTTATTTTACTTTAAATAATTTATTGTTTAAAACACACACTGATATTTTTGAAGAGAACTCATCAATGTATAATTTACCTGTTTCTCAGAATAAACACAACCTTTCCAGATAAAGTCCTGTTTTGACTACTTTTAAAATAGTTTTTGTTGTTGTTGTCCTCTTTGGAGCATGATAGACATCAGCGCTTGTATAAAACAGCTGTATGATGATTTTGCTGACTTTCTTTTGCGATCTACTGGAACTGGAACAAATAGCACATTATTATATAAAAAAAATATATTTTTTATATAAAAAATAGCACATATGGAACGAAATGAAGCTAAATAAAGAGATTTAAGTCTTATAGTCTAATTTACAATGCAAAAAAATGTATTGTAACTATAGATTTTTCTGCAACTCTAGTTGCCAGTAAACTACCATGAGCTTTGGTAACACTTTAGAATATGGTTCCTTCGTAAATGAATAACTACACAAGAACCAAATAACACAATATTAGCATCAATTAATAACTAACAAGGAACTCTGATTACTAACAAATTAGTAAGTAATAGCGCACAGATGACTAATCAATAACTACTTTTTTTAAAGGGGGGGTTTACTGCTTTTTTTCTTTGCATGATTGTGTTTATGGGGTGCAATATAACATGTATTTGTGTTTTTTCTTTTTTTAAAGTCTTATTTTTCATAAACTTCACGTTTATTGTCAGCTGCGCTCTCCTCTGTCCTGGAACAAACGGTTCACTTCCTGAGTCTATGAAAACACTCCCTCAGAAACAGGCAGTGGGCTCAGATTGGTTAGTTTGGGCCGGTGTGTTGTGATTGGCTAAACTGTGGCGCATGTTGTCCGGATACTTAACGCCCATTATCTTTTCTGAATGGTAATTTGCCTGTATTTTTTAACTTTATACACATTTGTTTTACACAATCGCATCGAACTGACTGGCTACTATATACACAAACCGCATTGGCATTGGTTTACGTTCTTGATCAAATCGAAAAATAACGTCATAAAGTATATTTACATGAAAAATACATTTACAACATTAGTACTTATACAAAATTCAGGTCCAAAATGTTTGTACGCGTTTGTCGTAGACACGAAATAGCAAAACTAAGTGGATATAAAGCCAGCGCTGGCATTTGATAAAGCTAAAACATTAGGTCTGAAATTATACATGCAAATACATTTAAAATGATGAAGTCTTAGCCTACTTACAGGCCAACAACTGCTGTCTCTGGTTTTAAAGTCGGAACTGCTTCATGTTTTAGTAACAGTTTCTTGTTGAATCCGGTGTTGATCTCGTGGAGATTCTGAAAGATGTCTTCCGTAAATGCGCAGCACAGAGAGCTAAATTACCTAAATTACATAATCAAACATAAATTGTATCCATTGTTGACGAAGGACAGCGTCTGTGGGAAGCTCGAACACAGAAGACCTGACAGCTGCGTGAACAACACACTCGACGAGCCGCAGAAATATGCTCATGCCCTTTTCTGCTTATTCCAGAGGGAGGGGTTGATGTAAATGTGTGGGTTAGTGACGTCTAAAACCCAGCTGTAGTCCCAATCCAGTCGTTTTTGTAGGCATTAAACTTCCTGATTATTAAAAGATGATATCTCTGCTTACACTGAACTTTCAGCGCTGCAACTTTGCAGATACTGTTCATGCACCAACAGCAACATTACACACTATTTAAAATGAAACAAGTGAAATCGCAATCAAAAACTCACATGTGGTTTTAAACTGTATCTTTTTTATTTTTTAAGCAGTCTAACATTCAGTGTTGGTCATCCCATACATCACTGCACATTTTTCTTCATGACCTTGCTGTAAAAAGACCAGACAGGACCCTTGAATATTTGAGAAAACAACCAAACAAAAACATTCTTATTTTATTAGCCCTAAATTCCTTGCATGAAAGTAGCTGTCAATGTGAAAGTGCCTGTGAGAGGAGCGAGCAGCTCTTGTGTGGTCATCTGGGGCCGATCTTGGAGGATCACTGAAAGCACTGCCAAGTTCTGCTCCCAGATAAGATCCATCTGGAGTAATGTGACCAATCAGGGTGTGACTGACAATCCACTCCGTCCTGTTGCCATGGAAATCAGAGGATACTCCACATTACAGATCGTGTTTGGTAATATTCTCCAGGACACAGCCACACAGATCCCCATTTTGTTATTGCTTGATGTTACCATTGCGGTCACCGTGATTTTGCCAAGTAAGACATGGTCCTGGATCAACATTCCTGTCCCAAAATGTAGTCATTACCCAATCCCTACCCCTAAACCTAACCCAACCCATTATTTTTCCTTAAAATCAGAGGGTAATGATAGGTGAATAACACTGATGTTTAAGTACTTCATCCTGGTCCTAAGCCTACCCTTACGAAAAAGAAGTATATTTCAAGTTCATTTTATGTAGTATAATGTTCAAGTATATTTTTAAGTATACATTATGTAGTAAGTATACTAATGTCACTGTACTAATAGTAAACTTGTAATTGTACTATTTTAATACCGCTTGGGACTAAATTGGCCCACTTTTAGTACATAAAAGTATATGTTTAAGTGTACTATAAGTGTAACAGTAAGTGCACGACTAGTTCATAATTATGTATCTCATGTGTACTGCAAGTGAATTTATGGGTATACTAGTAGTTTACTTTTTTACTGTAATACAAGTATACTTTGAATACTTAATTATACTTTTAAGTATTTCTGGATCAAAAGATTGAGTACAAGAACAGGACAAATATACTTGCTTTTCTCTCAGTATAACTCAAGTACACTTAAGTGTAATTTGAAGTATATTTCTGAGAAGTACATATAGTATACTTCTGAGAAGTACAGGAAACATAAACTGAAAGTATACTTTCTTATTTTTAGTTTAAAAGAAGTATACTAATGGCACACTTGAATAAAATTCTTTTTCGTGAGGGTAAACTTGACATAAACTGTAAACTTGTCCCTCATATCTGATTGGTTGATTGCAAAGTTGATCCAGGAACATGTGGTACTTGGTGAAATCATGTTCACCGAACAGTACACACTTACTGTGGTGTTACTAGTTCACATTAAATGTTCTGCATGAATATTCAACAAACTCTTTGGAAACAGCTGTAATAACAACAAGGTTATTTTTAAGGATTCTACACTCTTAACACCAACTGTACTGATAAAGACAAGTGTTGCCAAATCATGGACCCGGAGCGACCCAGGCACTGTATGTGTCCCTAATTGGACACACCGCATTCAGGCATCTAATAATGAGCAGGATTAGGGTTTTCCAGGACCAAGAATTAGGAAACACTGCACTAGAGCTCAGCTAATGCCCGCCATTCTGAATTACATATGTCTTCAAAGTACAATTGTTACAACAGCTTATTTAGAGTCTTTAGTTTTATTGTGCCATGTCAAATTTTGGCAAATTTGATATTGTATATGTAAGCAATAAGGTTCGAGAGGCTGTATCGTAAATAAGTAACGGATGAAGGGCGTTGTTAGGCTCGACGCGAGCGGAGTAACCCCTTCAGCCGTCACTTATTCACCATACAGAACTTGCCTCAAGTACCTTATTGCTTTTATAAAACGGTCACCACACAATACAAATATTAAAGTTAAAAAAAAATGTATTACTGCAACTTTCATGAAGTAAAATCACTAAAAGCCTTCCTTCCGCTAGAAAAAAATAGTCCCTGACCGTGAGCAGCAACAACGCTCCAGTGTGTAATATGCATGAACGCTCAAATAAACACAACATAGGAACTGCAGTGTTGCGCAGTGATTCGCTGAAGCGGTCATAGCCGTGTGTTATCATGAATGAAGCACAGCTATTGACCAATCAGAATCAAGGATTCAAACTAACCGTTTTATAACTTGTATCATCAGCCAAATGTGACAGCAATTAAAAAGAATAATGAGCAAATGAAAAAATATTTCATTAGCATTCCTATAATGTCACTCTTTGACGTTGTCTCTTAACTACTATAATTAGAGCTGTCTCTTGGAGAGAAGAACCTTTATTTGCCTGCGTGTCTCATTAAGCTCCTGTCTTACCAACACCTGCTGTGACTGGGGTTTCAGCATCTCACCATAGCAACACAAGAACCCCTGCCATTCAGCAAAGTGACGTCACAATGGAAACACCAGCTGCAAAGGACAACTCGGACATCTGGACAGACTCAGGGTTCATCACAGTGGAAACATTCTCATTTCATACCATTCATTCCTTGTAGCAATCCAACATTTGTAATATATAAACATTTGGTGGAGATATCTATACATATAGTCTGCATCTATTTGTGATGACTCTCAAAAAATAATTTATCTCTAAAATATCTAAGCTATGAAAATGAACATAATGTATTTCCTGAAAATGGTAAAAAGCTCTCATCTCATCAATAATGTTTTTTGACATGGCACGCTCTATAACCTCACTAATTTTGTGGACAGAAATAATAATGACAAACACACAAAAAAACTGTATTTCACGACAAAAATCAGTTACTTCATGCATATCGCACACACTTCATGCTAACACAGCATGTCTGAGATCATACTTTTGTTTTGAATCATAATTAATATTTCAAATGCTAAAAATCCCCAACACAGGAACAAGATCCAGGTCAGGTCCATCTCCACTGAGTATAGATCCCTATCACGCCACTGTTTCAATATTTTATCACTGTGTAAATATTTCAAGCTGAAAGCACTCTTGTCTGAGCAAGTTTCTTATGGATACTGAGCATATTATGCGTATACTCACGCACAAACATACTGTTATGTCCCGTTTGTGTCTAGGGGTAGTAGGGGCGTAGCATTTTAAAAATGTGCCAAGTTACCAAACAAGAACAAAAGAGCAAGAATGTAGGAGATTGAGATTGCTATCGCTGCAAACCAATCCTGGTGCCGCACATATTTGAAAATGTGCTTGGCGATGAGCATCTTGAATGGCAGCCTGTGAAGGGGAGCGGTTCAGAACGTGCAGGTTCAGGATTGGCCGTAACCCACTGGTTTTCTTCGGGACAATGAAGTACCGGGAGTTGTCCACTCCACTATGGTCGGTCGCAATGCCCCTATCATGAGAGCGGAGATTGATACCCTGCTGGCGA